CCAAGACTCAGTGTCTCATTCTGCAAGGGTACTTGGCCCAGACCTCTGTGCGTAATGTGCAGGGTGCTCACGTCCTGAAAGTCAATCTCGTACTGTACCACTTTGATGCCTTTCTTGTCAATACAGTTGTACAAGCCCGTCTGTGATGGCAATGGGCTTCTAATGAGAATGCCACCTTCAGGCATTGTTTCTATGTTTGAAGCACTGAGGATGGGGCTGGACCAATTGGTCCCATCTTGAAAGAAGTAGTACCACTGTGCCCCAGGGGAGCTGCAGTGCAGAAAGATATCATTGTTGGAAAGCAGGGCCCTCTGGCATTGTTTGCCATGGGGACAGCTGATGGAAACATAGGACCCCAGCAGAGAGACCGTGAAGCTGAGCAGCAGCCACAGGGTAGACAGCATGGTGGACTGGAACTGTGGCAGTGGGCTGAGTACCACCCTGGACATTGTGAGGTCACCCATGACACTCATGCCACAGCCCTGGGCAGCAGAATGAACTGGAGTACACCCCATGGGTATATAAGGTCATTATCCCCATTTGTCTTGTGACAAGTTAACAACCCTATTTAATTTCTCTTGCAAGCCCTCTACTTTGCTGGGGTAGGAGGAAACTTAATTTGCCCATTCAGGACTTCCCTACCACCCCCATGTTTTGGCATTAAAGCATAACATGTAAACATTCAACACACTTTTCCTGAACACCTACTCTGTTCTGGGTACATGTCTTAGTACTGGGGATAAAGAGGTGAATAAATCCTCTGGTTACCATTCTGACCTCCTATCCCTCCCATTAACTCCTCCAGCCATGCTGACCTTCTTCCTGACCCCTAAATACAAAGCAAAGTGCTCCCGTCTCAGGACTTTTGCACATGCTGGTCTCTGGTTCTTCCCACACATAATCTGCATAACTCAATTAATTTTTAAACAATAAATATTTTTCTGCCCTGGCTGGTGAGGCTCAGTGGATTGATTGCTGGCCTCAGAAACAAAGGGTTACCAGTTCAATTCCCATCAGGGCACATGCCTGGGTTGTGGGCCAACTCCCCAGTAGGCGGTGTGCAAGAGACAACCACACACTGATGTTTCTCTCCCTCTCTTTTTCCTTCCCTTCCCTTCTTTAAAATAAATAAATATAATCTTTAAAAATAAAAGAAATCAGTATTTTCATCATTCCCCCCTTCCTAAACCCTTTCCTAATTCCTTAGTCCTGAAAAAGTAATTGCTATGCAGGCTTGATCTGCCTTTATCACTCATTTCACAAATGTTTCCTGAACACCTACCATGTGCTGGCCATTATTCTAATCAGTGAACAGGCTATACAAAGTCTCTGCCTTCTTTGAGCTTCCCTTCTAGTGGAAGAGATAGATAAAAATTAAACATATAATACATATTGTCAGATGAAGTAGATTCTCATTGTTCACAGTAGTTATTTTTTTTAGAAAATGAAGACTTTATTTTTTTTTTAAGTCACTGAACTAGCAAATACTGAAACACTGCTCCCAGGAGAAATACAGGGTTAGTGTCTTACAAGCCCTTGGTCATAAGCTTTTTGTCAACTGACCAATACATAGCCTTGCTTTAGGTGTATTTCTGTTTAAAGACACTTCAATATATATTGTTGATCATTAACATTGAACTTGTAGCCAACAGCTATAACTCTATCCTGAATAAAGCTTATCTAACACATGTATTTTCTCTATGTGGCAAATCAGACTTCTTGCACTTAGGAACACTAGGCAGTAATTTGTTTGGGAGCTCTTTTATACAGCAAAATCATCTCCAAAAGCAAAACATGCAAAATAAAGTGGCAGAAGAATACTGTAAAAAGGACACTTAATAGTATGAAAGCTGAAACAAGAAGGCAGAATGTCACCTCATTCAACCTCAGCTAGGAATGTGCATTGTTAGCTGACTCAATTATTTCATCATTCTGTGCTTGTCTGTAAATGACTATAAAAGCACTGTGGGTATTGATTTTGGGGTTACAAATACATCTTAGTGAGTAAGTGAATTCACAATAATTTCTAAAGAGAAAAATAGACCAGGGAGTTGGGGATAGAAAGGGAAAGGTTGTGTGTGGTTGTGAGCTAACTTAGAGAAGGTGTGATCATCCTGATGTCCCATCTCAGCATGGTTCTGAGAAGGTGAAGCTTCATAAACACCTGAATAAATTGAGATAAAGAGCAACATCAAAATTTGAAGGAAGAATAGTTCTAGGAGAGGGCTAGACCCTGAAATGGCTGTCTGCTTAAAGGGTGTGGAGTCAGAGAAACTGAGTAGCCAAAGGAAGAGTGATGGTGGGTGAGGTCAGAGTTTGAGTCTTTGCTAAGAAATCCTGCCTTCCTCTTTCCCTGGCTCCTCAAGGCTGAGGGCTCTCTTAGCTATGCCCTTGCCCCATGTGGGGAACTCTACAGGCTATATGTGGCATAAGCTGTATGCTTACATTCTGAAACTGTTGCCTCTATGGTATCTTGCTGCTAACCCCACCCAAGGAGCGGCACTTCCCCTATGCTCTCACATTCTCTGTGCCCTCAGAACTATAAAACCATCTAGATTTTTTTTATCTGCTTCCCAGGACCTTATAAAGCCCCTCTATCTAAGCCACATTAACATCTAGACCTAGACCTCTATTACTTCCCCTCCATCTCCCTACCTCTCTGCCTTTCTCCTCAGCCCAGGGAATCTTTTCCCTGGTGATCAGGTAATCTGGTAAACAGTAATCAGGTCTATGAGTAGTGACTGTGAGAAAGTTCACTTTCAACTTTCATTTTATCTAGGTGAGAAGTCACAAACTGGATGAAAAAAATGTCTTAATGGGCTTCTTCGGGTGTTTTGAGGATATTTAAATTAGTGAGCAACATGTAAAATCCAAGAGATTTTATACAATAATCCAGATTCCCTGTTATTCTGTAAGTAATATAGGTGATATTTCTGCTTACTGTTATAATTGAGTAGTTTACATCAGATTAACCCTCTTGATAAGAACAACTGTAGACTTATTATTTATATGTCTAAGAGATGACAAGATTAAGATTTTGAATCTAGAATATTAAAGTTCGGACATCCACCAAGATGGAGGTATAGGTGGATATGCCGTGCCTTCTCACACAACCAAGTTTAGAGACAACTAAATATTAGCAACAGAAAACACAGCCAGAACACAGAAAATTGAACTTTTCGGAAGTCTGTTAAAAACAAATTCTTCAGCCAGACCGGTAAGGGGCGAAACCAGCAGCTCGTGGGGCGGGGTTGCAGAGGAAAACTCGGTCAGACGGACTCAGGCATGCGAAATCCAGGTGCAGGGTTGGACTGCAGGGGAAACAGCGAGGGAACATGGCTGCGGGTTGACTGTGGTCGCGCATTTCTGCGCAGATGGACGATTGGACCAGAACCCAGCGGGTCCCCACAACCAGCGGCAGGGAGGGCGCCGCCATTTCCCTGCTCTGACCCCACCTCCACATACAGCGTCATAACCCAGCGACTCTCAGTGGCCCGGCCCAGGTGAACCACCAAAGGCGCTGCTCCTCACCCAGTGGTGCTAAACAGCAGAGGGGATCGCCATTTCCCCGCTCTCACCACGCCCCCACATACAGCTTCACAACCCAGTGACCTGGGAGTCCAAGGCGCAGCTCCTCATACTTAAAGGGCATGAACAGACCAAAAATGGCTCAAGAAGATCTCAAAGCCCCAGAGCCGATAAATCTAAGCGATGAAGAAATAGCAAAACTCTCAGACGCACAGTTTAAAACACTGGTCATCAGGATCCTCACAGAACTGGTTGATTATAGCCACAAATTAGACAAATATATAAAGACGAAACTAATTGAAATGAATGGAATTGCACAGGACACCAATAGCAATGAAAAGGAAACTGGGACTCAAATCAATGGAGTGGACCAGAAGAAAGCAAATAATGGCCAAACAGAAAAGAGTCAAGAAGCAAGAATTCAAAGAAATGAGGAGAGTCTTAGGAACCTCCAGGACATCTTTAAACGCTCCAACATCCGAATTATAGGGGTACCAGAAGGGGGAAAGGCACAGCCACCAGTGGAACACTTATTTGAACAAATAATAAAGGAGAATTTCCCCAATCTGGCAAAGGAAATAGACTTCCAGGAAATCCGGGAAGCTCAGAGAGTCCCAAAGAAGTTGGACCCAAGAAGGAACACACCAAGGCACATCATAATTACATTAGCCAAGATTAAAATGAAGGGGAGAATCCTAGAAGCAGCTACAGATAAGGGGACAGTCACCTACAAAGGAGTCCCCATCAGACTGTCAGCAGACTGAAGCAGAGGAGTTCATCATCACCAAGACCTTCTTATATGAAATGTTAAAGGGACTTATCTAAGAAAAAGAAGTTAAAGGAACATGAACAGTGAAAGGACAGCAAACTCACAGTTATTAACAACCACACCTAAAACAAAAGCAAACTAAAAGGACAGCTAGATCAGGAGTGGAAACATAGAAATGAAGATCTCAAGGAGGGTTAGCAACAGGGGAGTGGGAGGAGGAGAAGTGGGGAGAAGGTACAGAAAATAAGTAGCATAGACAGTAGATAGAAAAAAGATGGGGGGGCAAGAATAGCATGGGAAATATATAATCTAAAGGACTTGAGACACATGGTCATAAACTAAAGGGGGGGTAATGGTGGGGACGGGGGGGCAGGGTGGAAGGGAATGAAGGGTGGAATGGAACAACTGTAACAGCATAATCAATAAAAAAAAGAAAAAAGAAAAAAAAAGAAAATTAAAGTTCGAAGAACCAAAAAAAAAAAAAGATTTTGAATCTATATAAAAGAATCAAATGAAAATACTACAATTAAAAGTAAAATTTGTGAAATTAAAAATTCACTAGAAAGGATAATAATCTATTAGACACAACAGAAGAGAGAACTAAGAAAATGAGAGATGGGTCCACAGAAATATATGTATACAAAGGAAAAAGACAGGGAAAATACAAAAAAAGAGTGTAAGAGGTTTATGGTGGAACCTTAACATGGTGGAAAATTCTAACATTTATGTAAATGGAGACTCCAAAGAAAAGAAGAGGTAGAAGCATAAGCCACATTTGAAGAAATATTGAATGAAAACATTTCAAGACTGATGAAAGACATCAAGCCACAAATTTAAGAAGGTCATTAACCATCTGTGGTGGAACAGCCTCCAACATGCCACTGAAACCCTTTTGGGGAAGACAATCACTCTTGAGGTTGAACCCTCAGATACAAGAGAATATGTAAAGGCCAAGATCCAGGATAAGGAAGGAATTCCTCCTGATCAGCAAAGACGGATCTTTGCTGGTAAGCAACTGCAATATGGACATATTGTGGTAGACAAAAAGTCCATATGTTTTTTTCTGTAAAATGAATGACAAATTTTTCACTTTCACCAATAACTTTTTGATTGGGATATTTGAGTATGTCATCTATCTCTTATGTGGTATAAAATTGATTATTCTCTATTAATGTCTTGATTTGATTGCTATCAACTTCAACTGGTCTACCTGACCATGGACCAATGTCCAACAAGAAATCTCCAGCATGAAATGCCACAACCATTTTTGACATGTTTGATCAGTCAGTCACTGCACCTTCTACATACACTGCACAAATCTTTTTTTGCATTTCAGTTGTCGGTTTACCTTTCTTGAAATAATGGTACATAATATACCAAAGATGTTGTGTATTTTCTTCCATCTCCAATGCTAAAATGGCTACACAAAATTCACCAATTTTGATGGTTTTTGAAATGCACACTGATATGACAGTTGTCATAATACAATCTTTAAAAATTGTTTTGAATGAAGTTAAAGACAATTAAGTGCTACTATGGTCATCTTACAGAAAAAAAACAAGTGAGCTTTTTGGCCAACACAATACTTTACATGGCTATAACACTCAAAAGAAGTCCACTTTTCATCTTGCCTTGAAACTTTGTGATGGTGCTAAGAAAAGGAAGAAGTCTTACACTACTCCTAAGGAGAATAAGCATAAGAGAAAGAAGGCTGAGTTGGCTCTCCTGAAATACTACAAACTGGATGAGAATAACAAAATCAGTTGCTTTTGCCTGAAGTGCCCTTCTGATGAATGCAGTGCTAGAGTTTTTTATGGCCAGTCACTTCGACAGACATTGTGGCAAATGTTGTCTAACCTGTTGCTTCAATAAAATGAAAGACAAGTGGGTTAAAAAAAGACAAAACCTAAAAGACATATGGGTTAATAAAAGACAAAAACAAACAAACAAAAATCTTCAAAGCCCACACAGGATAAATGTAAAGAAAACCAAACCTAAGCACTTCACAAGAAAACACTACTAAAAACCAAAGAGGAAATGTTAAAAAGGGCCAGGAGAGAAAAAGATAAAGACTTCGGGCCAAGATGAAGTTGTAGGTGGAAAAATACTGAACCTCCTTGCACAACCAAATTCAAGAACAACAAAGATTTAGAAACAAAAACACAACCAAAACAGACAGAAAATTGAACTGTACCAAACTCGGACAATGATGAACCATTCATCCAGACCAGTAAGAGGGGCAGAGGCAGCGGCCAGCAGAGAGGGGTCCCAGCAGGAAAAGGTGGCGGTTAGCGGACCTGGGTGGGCACCAGACGAAAACCCAGTAAGGCTCACAAGGAAGCTGGAGGACCACAGTCACACATTCGCATGCAGATAAACCAGGCCAAAAAAAAAAAAAAAAAAGCAGTGAGACAGACCATGTACCCCAGGGCCCCAGCGACAGGAAACAAAGCCTAAAAGCACCAATTGGAAAAACTTTCAGGGGTTGAGGTGCCAGTAGAGGCTTCAAGCCTCACTGGAGAGTTCGTTGGAGAGACCCACAGGGTCCTAGAATGTGCACAAGCCCGCCCACCCGGGAACCAGCACCAGAAGGGCCCAATTTGCTTGCGGGAAGCAGCAGAGGGGACCAAAATCTGAGAGAGAGCATGCAACAAGCGCCATTGGCCCTCTCTGACCCTGCCCCCACATACAGCATCACAACTCAGTGATGTGGGTCGCCCCACCCTGGTGAACACCTAGGCTTTGCCCCTCATACCTAACAGGCGCAAACAGACCAAAACATTATGGCTTAAGCAGAAGAACAGCTCAAAGCCCCAGAGCCAATACTTCTAAGTGACCAGGAGATAGCCAATCTATCAGATGCCCAATTCAAAACACTGATGACCAGGATATTCACAGAACTGGTTGATTTTAGTCACAAATTAGAAGAACAAATGAAGGCTAAACTAAGTGAAATGAAGCAAAATGCACAGGAAACCAATAATGGTGGGAAGAGAACTGAGACTCAAATCAATGAAGTGGACCAGAAGGAAGAAAGGAACAACAAAACAAAAAAGAATGAAAAAACAAGAATTCAAAACAAAATGGGGAGAGGCTTAGGAACCTCCAGGACATCTTTAAACGCTCCAACATCCGAATTATAGGGGTACCAGAAGGGGAAGAGGAAGAGCAACAAGTAGAAAACTTATTTGAACAAATAATAAATGAGAACTTCCCCAATCTGGCAAAGGCAATAGATTTCCAGCAAGTCCAGGAAACTCAGAGAGTCCCAGAGAAGTTGGACCCAAGAAGGAACACACCAAGGCACATCATCATTACATTAGCCAAGATTAAAATGAAGGAGAGAATCCTAGAAGCAGCAAGAAATAAGGGAACAGTCAGCTACAAAAGAGTTCCCATCAGACTGTCAGCTGGTTTCTCAAAAGAGACCTTACAGGCAAGAAGGGGCTGGAAAGAAGTATTCCAAGTCATGAAAACCAAAGACCTACAACCAAGATTGCTCTATCCAACACAGCTCTCATTTAGAATGGAAGGACAGATAAAGTGCTTCTCAGATAAGACCAAAGTCAAGGAGTTCATCATCACCAAGCCCTTATTATATGAAATGTTAAACGGACTTATCTAAGAAAAAGAAGAGAAATATATGAACAGTGAAAGGACAGCAAACTCGCAGTTATTAACAACCACACCTAAAACAAAAGCAAACTAAAAGGACAGCTAGATCAGGAGTGGAACCATAGAAATGGAAATCACATGGAGGGTTAGCAACAGGGGAGTGGGAGGAGGATAAGGGGGGAGAAGGTACAGAGAATAAGTAGCATAGACAGTAGGTAGAAAATAGAAAGGAGGAGGGCAAGAATAGTATAGGAAACATAGAATCTAAAGAACTTGTGACACAGGGACATGAACTAAAGGGAGAAAATGTGGGGGGAGGGGTTGTGCATGGGGGAGGGGAATGAAGGGGGAAATGGGACAACTGTAATGGAATAATCAATAAAACATATTAAAAATAAAAAAGATACATTATTTTCAAAGCAACAAGCAAAGCACCCACATTAACTTAATAAAATTAATGGAAGCGAGAAGACAATGGAAGGACATCTTTAAAGCACTAACAGAAAATGACTGTGAATCTAGAACTCTATATATAGAATTCTATATACTGCAATGAAAATATTCTTCAGAGATGGAAGCGAAAATGAAAACAGAATTTGCCACAGCAGAGCACACTAAAAGTAATACTGAAAAGAATACTCCAGGCAGCAGGAAAATGATCCCAAATAGAAGGAATGTCAGAGAAATGCAAATTAAAACTACAGTGAGATAATCACCTGTCAGAATGGTTATCATCAAGAAATCAACAAACAGCAAATGTTGGCAAGGACATGGAGAAAAGAGATCCTTTGTGCACTGTTGGTGGGAATGCAGATTGGTGCAATCACTGTAGAAAGCATTATGAAGTTGCCTCAAACAATTAAAGATTGAACTGCTATATGCCCCAGTGATTTCACTTCTGGGAATATATCCAAAGAAATCTGAAATACTTATTCAAAAGGATATATGCACCTTGTGTTCACTGCAGCATTATTTATAATAACCAAGATTTGAAAGCAGCCTAAGTATCCATCAGTTGATGAGTGGATTAAAAAAAAAAAGCTATGGCCCTGGCTTGTGTAGCTCAGTGGATTGAGCGTGGGCCTGCGAACCAGACAATCGTGATTCGATTCCCAGTCAGGGCACATGTCAGGGTTGCAGGCAGGTTCCCTGCAGGCCAGTTCCCAGCAGGGGACGCACAAAAGGCAACCATACATTGATGTTTCTCTCCCTCTCTCCTTCCCTTCCCCTCTAAAGATAAATAAATAAAATCTTAAAAAAAAAAAGCTATGGTACAATTTACACCATGGAATAATACTCCACATCCATAAAACAGAAGAAAATCTTACCCTTGGGGACAGCATGAATAGACCTGGAAAGTATTATGCTAAGTGAAATAAGCCAGGCAGAGGAAGACAAGTATCATATGATTGCATTCATATGTGGAATCTAATGAATGAAATAAACTAGCAAACAAAATAAAAAAAATTAGAAGTAATGTAGTGCAGGTAAAAAAAAGGCACTAGAAGAGAAAAATGTGGGTAAAACTAAATTAATGTGGAGAGTGTTTTAAAATAATGTCTCATGGGGCTTAAAATATACATGGAATAAAAATACCTGATAAACACAGCACAGCAGATGGAAGGGAAATACAGGGAGCTTAATACAATAACCTTAATATGAGGTTATTAAGTTCTCTGCATTGCATAGGAAATGATACAAGCACAAATTTATATTGTATCCTAATGAGTGAGAATTAATGTGGTAATTTCTGGAGCAAATTACAAAAGAATAACAACAGAATGCATATCTAATAAGGTACTAGAGGGAGAAATAGAAAAATAATTTTTTAAATATTTGGTGAATTCAAAAGCAAGAAAAAAAGAACCAAAGACAGAACAAGTAGAAAAATAGAAATATTTTAGACCCAGCTATATTAGTAATTACATTAAATGCAAATGAACTAAATATTCCAATTAAAAGACAAACGTTTTCAGGCTTAATACAAAGACAAATACCTAAATATATAGTGCTTAAAAACACTAATTTTGAATAAAAGAATATAGAAAAGTTGAAAGTAAAAATATGGAAAAATATCATGGAAAAATGATAACCAAAAGAAAACTGGCATAGTAGCTATATTAATAATATAAAGTAAATGGTAGAATCAAGATGGCGGTGGACTAGGACAGAGCAGATACCAGTTCCTAGTACAAAAGAGAGGGAGACCTGTCCAATCGGAGGAGGTGAGACCAGCAAGCCAGCAGTTGACTAGCATATATGAAAATAAGAGACCAGAAACCTCATCGGTCACGGAGGAACCAGATGTAATCTGTTATTTCTTTTAAATTTTATTACTGTTTCATCTTTCCATACTTTTGTCCTCTTTTCCCGGATTTTCTGTTTTATTTCGTTTTCTTTTCTTTCTAAACTTATTGCTCTTTATTCCATTCCCCTACCATTTTTTTCTTTCTTCCTTTTATTTCTTTCCTTGTCATTTCTTTCTTTTACCCACAAGAGTCACAATCAACTTGAAAATATGAAAAGACCAGAGCTGGACCCATAGAAGAGGCCTCCCAACAGTAGAGTCAGAGAGACAAATTGCACATTGTTGTAGGAGAGAAGCCAAAAGTTGCTGCATATTTGAGTAGGTGGAAGCAGAGAACAACAGGATAACCGAAAGAGACTGCACCACTGAAATTCACAGGCATTCCACCACAAAAGTTCACACCATAAACCCAGGGTGTCAAAACAGATTAATCTACGAAGCTGAGGCTAACAAGAAGAGTCTCACAAACCAAGGGAAGTCAAAGAAACAATCCCCAAAGGAAAGGAAAGGAGGAAGCCTCAGAAAGAATGTTAGATGAAATAGAGGCAAGTCAACTATCAGATTCTGAATTCAAAGCACTGGTTATCAAGAAGTTCAAAGAGCTCACAATCAGCTACCAGAAACTACAGGGGAGCTACAATGATCTCACCTCGAACTATATCAACATGAAAAAGGAAATGAAAATTATTAGCAAGGGCCAAGAGGAAATGAAGAATACAATTTCTGAATTAAAACACAGTAGAAAGCATTAGAAATAGGGTAGATGAAACAGAAGATAGGATTAGTGAATTGGAGGACAAAGTAGAAAGCATCTCACAGAAAGAACAGGAAAGAGAAAAGAGGCTCAGAAAGAATGAAGAGGGATTAAGAGAAATGCAAGACAATATGAAACGTAATAATATCCAAATAATAAGAATACCAGGAGAAGAAGAAGAACAAGGGATAGAAAACATATTTGAAA